TAGTACCACAACACCTTCTAAACCCAGCATGGACTTCTGGAAATTCTCTGCTGATGTGCTGTTACAGTCGTTTTTTGATAATCTTCAGTAGTATCTTGCTTGCGTGTGAAATAAATGATAATGTTCTATAGTTACCACATCCTGTTGAGTCACCCTTCTCTTGAATGGGAGCAAATATAGATCTCTCCCAGTCAGTTAGCCAAGTGGTTGTTCACCAAATTTTTTGGCACAACTTAGTGAGCACATCCTGGGCAGCATCTGTTAGCTGAAATACATCAATTGGTATATTATCTATTCCTGGGGCTTTTTTTTTTGCCATTTCCTTCAAAGCTGCTAAACTTCTTCCTTCATCACCATAGGCTCTTGCTCATATGTTGTTTCATGAAATTCTTCTGTGTCTGTCAGTTCCTTTCAATACAGTGACTCAGTATATTCTTTCCATCTTCTTTTAATACTTCCCGGATCATTTAATACCCTTCCCAAAGCATCCTTGATTGTTGTTGTTATGTGCCGTCGAGTCGTTTGCGACTCATAGCGACCCTATGTACAGCAGCCCTAAACCGTGCTCTATCCTGTGCCAATCTCATTGCCTCTGACACACCCATCCCGATTACCCCAGTCACTGAATCAATCCACCTCATAGAGGGTCTTCCCCTCCTGCGCTGTCCCTCCACTCTACCCATCATGATGTCCCTCTCTAAAGACCTGTCTCTCCTTACAACATGTCCAAAGTATGTCAGACGAAGCCCCAGAATCCTTGCCTCCAAAGAACAGCCTTGTTTAATCCTCTCTACGATTAATCTGTTTGTTTTCTTGGCAGTCCATGGTATACTCAATACTCTTCTCCAGCACCACAGCTCAAAGGCGTCAATTCTCCTTCTATCCTCCCTAATCATTGTCCAACTCTCTGATGTATAACAAGTGATTGCAAAAACCATGGCCTGTATCAGGCGGACCTTAATCTCTAGAGTGACACCGTTGCTCATAGAAAAAAAAAAACAACCAAAAAATGAAAAACAACAAACCAACAATCTATGCACCAGTTCTACAGGACACATCACCTTCACTTGGGAAACATTACCACTAAACTTAAGAGACACTGGTCACAGCATAAGAAATTTTCAGCAGAGGACACATTTGGAATCACAGAGCCATGTAAGCTTCAGATATAAGCTATCAGATAAAGGGCTGGACAATGGGAGACAGATGTTGAAGGCAGTGGGTAGAAGGGGATGGCTATCCTGGTGGATGGTGGAGCAGGGAAATAAGTGGGTCAAGACACTTGTGCTAAGAGCAGGGATAAAACTGAAACTAATGGTTAATTCCACTATAAGGGATATATCTTTCACTTTTTTCTGTAAAATGCTTCTCTGTCAGATACTTCTCTAAATCTGAACATTCAGATTAAGACAGACTAGGCAGACAGATTGGCCGTCCACTTCCAAAATAACAGGCCTCTGAAAACCCTATGTACAACAGAACACATATAGTTAGAGTTATGTATATAAAATTAATGAACTGGCAAACTGAAGAAGTGAATTTCATTTGTGTAAAAAGAAAAAATCACAGTTAAACTCTTGGATTTAACAACTCTGAGAAATGACTGAGACTTTAAAAAAATGTACCCAACAAAATAGTTCAAATTACAGTAATATATATTACTTTGTGCATGTGTGTATTACTCTCTTACTCTGTGTATATATACACATTTATAGATATTATAATGTATATATATATTACTTCGTGTGTGTGTGTATAGCTACGTAGGTAGGTAGGTAGCTAGCTAGATGATGGATGGATGGATAGATAGATAGATAGATAGATTATTGATAGATGATAAATTATAGATAGATAGATAGATAGATAGATGATAGATAGCTAGCTAGATAGATGATAGATATTTTCCAACCATTGAGCTGGAATCAACTCATAGCTTACCCTCCAGTCAGTTTTCAGAGGCAGTTAATTAGATAGGATGAGATTTTTCAGTTTTCTCCCAAGGAGCTTCTGGTGGATTTAAACCATTCACCTTTGGGTTAGCAGTGTAATTCCTAAATCATGAAAGCTCCCGAATCATCTGACAGTTCTTAAACCACACTTAAAAAAACAAAACACTCAAATTCACTGTATGTAGTCAATTCTGACTCATAGTGACCTGCTCTTGAATTTCAGAGGCTATAAACCTTACTTGGAAGGCACTACCCATCTTCCTCCACAGAACCACTAGTGGGTTTAAACAGCTGGAGATGTGATGCCTCATAGTTAGGTTAGCAGTGCAGCACACTATGTATTGCATCCCCACACAGCACAATATTCTCGCATGTGTTGACGCATGTTTTATTTATTAAACCAGTAAGCGTTATATTTGCTTAAACTCCTCAGATACTAACTGAAAAACCAGCAGTCCCATCCACCAGTGTCTCTGCAGGAGGGACGATGTGGATCTCTGATCCCAAAAGTTTGACAGCCTAGGAAATTTCATGGATTGTACTCTGTCCTATTAAGACTGCTCTCAGGTGGAATTGACGGTTTACAACAGCAATTTAATTTGACACTTACATATTGTTGTTTTGTGCCAATGAGTTCAGTTGGGGCTGATGCATCGTTGGTCCTCTAATGGTTTTTAGAGATGGTAATTGCATGGGAGGAGATTGCCCATCTTTGTCTCCTGGAACAGCTAGCTGATTTGAACTACTTTGTCTTTGAATTGTCAGTGCAACTTCTTACAAGTAGGCCACCAAAGCTCCCTATTTTCATTGACTTACCTGTTTTTCTAGGAGCCATGGCAATGCAGTGGCTTACATGTTGTGCTACTATCCAAAAGTTGGGAATTTAAGTCCACCAGCACCTCAGCAGGAGGAAGATCTAGAAAATAGTTACAACCTCGAAACCCCATGAGACAGTTCTCATCTATCCTGTAGGGTTTCTGTAAATCAGTCACCATATTAGCAGAGTGGAATTGTTGTGGTTTAACATATTGTCCTTAGTCATGCGGTCTCCTCTTGACACTGATAGTTGTCTAATGGTAACTTAAAACACTAGAGGAAATAGTAGCTATAACTTTTTTTTTTAATTTGTAGATGAAGGATAGGGAGTTCTGGTGGCTTTATGTGTAAACTAAAAGGCACCAGGTGCTCCAAGAAAGGTGGACAGTCTCTTCCCTTGCAGTTTGCAGCCTTGGAAAACCTACTAGAGTGTTGACTATGACTCACATCTGACTTGACACATAATAGCACCAACAACAGATGAAGAAATAAAGATAACAATTTTAGAAATGGCTTGCCCTTAGTTAGTCAAAGAGCTCTGATGCCACGGTGTGCTTGCTGTTGTGTTGTAATTGCCCAAACAGTCAATGATTTGAATTACTAGCTACTCTTGAGAGAGGGAGATGGTCAGTCTCCTCCTGTAAGGATTTACACCGTTAGAAACCCTACGGATGGTTGCTATAAGAATCAAGTCAATGGCAATGGGGAGTGCCATAATCAGACAGTGTGGCAACTGCTTTTGTGGAAAGCTCTTCAGCTTAACTTAGACTGTCAAGCATTCCACCATTCCCTTTCCTTACCTTCTGCTTTTGTCTTTTAAGTTTTCTAATCATTCATGCTGTGCCTATTTCACTCACAGTCCTTTCTGTCTTCTTGTGTTCATCTAATGTTATTTCTCTAGCTTAAATTCCAGGAAAGATGAGTAACTGTCCTAATTTGTTCAACATCAAGAGGGTTCCCAAAATATGTGGCTTTCAAGTGATAAAATTGTGATGTTGTTGCTGTTCTGTGCTTTCAAGTTGTCTGCGACTCATAGTAATCCTTTGAACAATAACTCTGAACAATAGCTCTGCCCTATCCTGAGCCAATCTCACTGTCTCCATTATACCTACCCCTATGACCACAGTTACTGTGTCAATCCATCTCATCCAAAGTATTCCTCTCCTGTGCTGTCCTTCTACCATTCCAAGTATGATATCCTTCTCCAAGGACTGGTCCCTCCTGGCCACGTGCCCAAAGTACGTGAGATAGAACTTCAAAATCTTGCCTCCAAGGAACAACTTGGTTTACCGCCTCCAGAACAGACCCATTTGTTCTCTTGGTGGTCTAGGTTATGTTCAGTATTCTTCTCCAGCAGTACAATTCAAATACATCAATTCTTCTTCTGTCGTCCTTAGTCATTGTTTAGCTCTCTGGTGTATTGTAAGTAATTGCAAAGGCCATAGCCTCGATCAGATGCACCTTGGCTTCTAGACTGGCATCATTGCTCTTCAGTACTCTGGAGAGGTCCCTGACAGCAGATTTTCCTAATGCAGTTCTTCTATTGATTTCCTGACTGGTAGTGCCAAAAGTGTTAATTGTGGACCCAAGCATGGTGAAATTGTTAACAATCTCAATCTCTTCTCTATCATGGTGCTGTCAGTTGGCCCACTGGTGAGAATTTTTGTTTTCTTCATGTTGAACTTCAATCCATATTGAAGACTGCAGTCCTTGACCTACAACAAATGGCTTTGGCCCTCCTCAGTTTCAGCAGGCAAGGTTGTCTCATTTGCATAATACGGGTTGTTGATAAGTCTTACTCTGATCCTGATTCCACATTCCTCCTCATAAAGTCTAGCCTCCTGAATGATCTGTTCTGCATATAGATTGAAAAGGTATGGAGACAGGACACATCTCTGATTTTGAAACATGCAGTGTTTCCTTTCTCTGTTCTTACAGCTGCTGCCTGGTCTAAGTATAGATATTGCATGAGCCCAATCAGGTGTTCTGGGATTCCCAGTCTTCTCAATGTCTGCCACAATTTGTTATGAACCACAAAGTCAAAATCCTTTGCAAAGTCAACAAAACACAAATAGACGTCTTTTTAGTTCTGTGACTCAGTTTCTTAAATCTTAAGAAGAGAAAAACATACCACTCACTTCCCTGGAATATGGAACAGAGTAAACAAAATAATGTCTGTTTTGGATAGTATTGTGTTGAGCCATAATTAGTTATTAAATAATAGTTGCTAATAAGTGACTGACATCATTAATTGTTCTCTTTCATGCTTTGTTTCTTTCGGGGAATTTATGTCATCCTAGGCAAAAGCAGTTATTAAAACTACTGAAGATTGTTTACAGCCTCTGTTTGGTATCAGTCGACTTTTGCATTCAGTAGTGGTGTCACAAGGGTCAGGACTTCAAGATTGCTCCACACATCAAACAGTTTCAGATCACAGGCATGATGAAATATCAGCCCTATATGGCAACAAATCAAACAGTAAAAACAATTCTTGCCTTATATCAGCATCCAAGAGAGACAGACCTGTCTGTGCTCCAGTGGGTCAACTGAGGTAATCAAAGCTGCTATCTATTCTTTACAACCGATAGTTGAAGCTCTTTGAGCAGAATTTATAATGATTCAATTGACTATTTCAAATATTCAAATGTAACACACCGCTAGGATTTTGTTTGTGGTTGGTGGTTTGTTTGTCTTTTTTCCTTTAAAAATGCCAATGTAGAGTGTTGCTAATTACACTGTGGAAAACACATTTCAATTTAGATAACATTAGAGACTCTGAAAAGAACATTTGAAACAGAATGAAGCTAAATTCATGCAATATTTTAGTTTGCAGGATATTTTTTGAGGAATAAAAAGACATAGGTAAATAAGAGGTAGGTAACCAATTATTTGAAACAGTGTATTTGAAATTAATTTACTATAAAATTCTTTTGTGTGCATGTTTTCAGTTAGAAATGATCAGAAACTCTTAACCTCAAAGTTTAGCTATAGAAGAAAAAGAAATAGCACCTCTCAAGACTCATACTTCATTATTTTCAATTGTTTGAACATGTACATTGTTATTTTTCATTTACTTAATGTTTTAATTTTTGTATACTTCTGTGGTTGTAAGAATTAATGTAGTTACACAACTCTGAGATTAGAAATTGGATACATTAATAAATCAGTTTTACCAAACATATTTTGTCGAGATAATAATAAAGGTCACCCTGCCTGTACTGAAAGCAAACCATATAAAAATAATCTTAACTCTTACTACTGCTAAATAATTTGAAATGAAA